TACGAGTTTTAATTTTTAATGTATTCTGAGACAGATTTATCATCCTATTCTTCTTTCTCATCCTTCCTATCACACTTCCAACTGACCCGTCTATACAGATACTTCCCAGTCTGCCTCTTTGGAGTTTTAGTTCCACAACCACAGCTATCTCCCACATATCTGTACCCAGCTGACTTGCTGTCACCTCAGCATGTCTAAAACTTAGCTGATACCTTTCCAGCCCATGTGTTTGCTACCCTTGGACTTCTTAATTTTTAGGGTGACTACTTTTAAGTTTTTTATATGCATTCTAGGAATATATTTTTACTGTTCTCTGATTTTAGGAAGACTTGAGAAGAAAAGTTAATCCTTAATACTGTAAGGATTAAAAATGTGTGAAAGCTGTTAAAAGTACCATAAAAATTTCAGCTATCATCATGATCATCACGACTACTACTAACATTGTTATTCTGTATTTGGGAAAATGCAAAGTATGTGTAATATGTCCTGTAGAAATGTTTTAATCTCAGTTTAGCTCAAAAATAGTTGTATCTTTCAGATCAGATGGCAAAAATCAAGCAAATGTTTCCAGACAGCCAGTGAGTGTTCCTCGACATGTTTCTCCAGCGACGACTCCTAGAGAAGTTGTAAGTTTAAAATGAAAAATTCTTTTTCTTCACTATATAAAAGTATTGCATGCTTAGAGATTAAAAAATAGTTACATAGATATAAATATAGAAACTTTCTTAAAAATTCAGGAGTACTGTAGGTGGTCTCTGAGTTAATTAAAGGAAAACCAGCAGAGTCTCTGGCTTGGAGGACATGGAAAAAGACATCTAGAATTAAGAATGCCTTGCCTTGATTGGGAAATGGCATGGGGCCTATGCTATCACAGTTTTTTTCTATGTCTGCAGTCTTTCTGTTTTTAATACCTGGCTTCTCTAGGGTATGTTACCAGAGATCTGATGTTGAACTTCTGGATAGGCATAATTGTCTCAGCAATAGGACTGATAATCAGTGTTCTTGTAAGTGTATTAGGGAGAAT